GAAAGGTGGAGAGAAGAAGGCTGACCACAAGGGAATCAATAACAGAAATCAATAACAGAAAGATAACAGGAAATCTCCAAACATGTGGGAACTGAACAACACACTTCTAAATAACCCACTGATCAAAAAGGGAGCCTTAGGGGAAATAAAAATATATATTGAACTGAATGAAAATACAACATATCAAAATTTGTGGGACCTTGCTAAAGCAGTGCTGAGAGGGAACTTTATAGCACTAAATGCATACATTAGAAAAGAAGAAAGTATCAAATCAATAATCTAAGCTTCTTTTTTTCTTAGGAAAAAACGAGCAAACTAAACTTAAAACAAGAAGAAGGAAGGATATAATTAAGACGAGCAGAAATAAACAAATTGAAAACAGAAAAACAATAGAGAAAATCACTAAACGAAGAGCTGTTTCTTTGAAAAGATCAATAAAATTAACCTTTAGCAAGACGGACAAAGAAACAAAAGAGACACAACACAAATTAACAATGTTTCTGGAAATGGGTAATCACTACATGCCCTGCAGACATCAAAAGGATAGTAAGAGAATACAATGAACAATCTACACTTATAAATTTAACAGCTTAGATGAAATGTCAATTCTTTGAAGAATACAAACTACCACATCTCACTCAATCTGAAATAGACAACTTTAATAGCCCTGTAACTATTAAGGAAATTAAATTTGTAATTTAAAAACTTCCACAAAAGAAATCTCCAGGCCCAGATAGTTTCACCAGAGAATTCTAACAAGCATTTAAAAAAGATTTAATATCAAATCTACACAATCTCTTCCAGAAAATAGAAGAGGAAGGAGCACTTCCTAATTCATTTTATGAAGCTAGTATTACCCCAATACCAAAGCCAAACAAAGACAGTACAAAGAAAGAAAACTACAGACCAATATCTCTCATGAATAGAATTGCAAAAATGCTTAATAAAATATTACCAAATAGAATTTAGCGATACATAAAAAGAATTATATACCATGACCAAGTGAGTTTTATTCCAGGGATTCAAGTCTGGTTCAATTTTCAGAAATCAATCAATGTAATCCACCATATTAACAGGCTAAAAAAGAAAAACAAAAACAAAAACACATGATTATATAACCTGACGTAAAAGCATTCAACAAAATTCAATACCCATTTATAACAAAAACTTTTACAAATATAGGAATAGAAGGAAAATTTGTCAACTTGATACCTTCAGCTAATTTATACTTAATGACGAAAGACTGAATGCTTTCTCTCTAATTCTCATCAAAATACCAGCAAGGTCCTTTGTAGATATGGAGAAGATTATTCTAAAATTTAAATGGAAAGGCAAAGGAACAAGAAGACCTAAAACAATCTGGAACAAGAAGAATAACATAGGCAGAATCAGTCTGCCCAATTTCAAGATTTATTATACAACTATAGTAATCAAGACTGTGTGTTACTGATGGAGGAATAGACACATACATCAAGGTAACAGAATAGAGAATCCAGAAATAGACCCACACAAATATGCCCAATAGATTCTTGACAAAAGTGAAAAAGCAATTCAATAGAGGACAGATAGTTTCCAACAAATGGTGCTAGAGTAATTGGACATCCTTAGGCAAAAACCTAACCTCAACCTCAACCTAACCTTACATCTTACACAAAAATTAACTCGTAATGGATCACAGACTTAAATGTAAAACAGAAAAAAACATAGGCGAAAATCTTTGAGATCTAAGGCTGGGCATAGACTTCTTAGACTTAACACCACCAGCATGACCCATAATACAAAAAACTGAAAAATTGGACCTTATCAAAATTAAAGACCTCCTCTGCAAAGTCCATGTAAAGAGGGTGAAAAGACAAGCTACAGACTGGGAGAAAATATTTTCAAACCACATATCTGCAAAAAGACTAGACTATCTAAAGAACTCTCAAAACCCAACAGTAAAAAAACCAAACAATCCAATTAGAAAATGACCAAAAGGTATAAACAGATATTTCACCAAAGAGAACATATATATGGGAATATAGATGCCAAATAAGTAAATGAAAAGATGTTCAACGTCATTAGCCATTAGGAGAATGGAAATTAAAACCATAATGAGATATCACTATACACCTACCCAAATGGCTAAAATTTTTAAAATACTGACAACATCAAACGCTAGCAAGGATGTGGAGAAACTGGGTCACTCATACATTGCTAGTGGGAATGCTAAATGGTACAGCTACTCTGGAAAACAGATTGGCGGTCTCTTATAGAACTAAGCATGCAACTACCACATGATCCAGCAATTGCACTCCTGGACATTTATCCCAGAGATAAGAAAACTTATGTTCAGATAAAAACCTGTACACGAATGTTTATAGCAGGCTATTCGTAGTAGCTCAAAACCGGAACAAAAAAACAAAAACAAACAAAAAAAAAAACTGTCTTTCAATGGGTGAATGAACGGTTACACAAGCCATGGTACATCCATACCACCCAATAAATACATCTGGACGAATAGCCAGAGAATTATGCTGAGTGGAAAAAAATCCAAAAGGTTACATACTGTATGATTTCATTTATATAACATTCTTGAAATTACACAATTTTAGAAATGGTAAACAGATAAGTGGTTTCTGGGGGTTAAGGATGGGGACGGGTGCCAAAGAGAAGTAAGTGTGGTTCTAAAAGGGAAATATGAGGGATTCTTGTGGTGATAGAAATGTTCTGTATCTTGACTGTGTCAATGTCAATATCCTGGTTGGGATATTGTACTACAGTTTTGCAAGATGTTAACAATGGGGTAAACTGAGAAAAGGGTACTAAAATCTCTCTGTATTATTTCTTACAACTGCATGTGAATCTACAAATATCTAAAAATGAACATTCTGATTTAAAAAATTATTCTTGATTGAAAGATCAAGATTAATGAGTAGGAAAAGATACTTGCAATCTATAACTGACAAAGGCATATATCCAGAATATACAAAGAGCTTTCAAGAATTAACAAGAAAAAGTCAGACAACTCAATGGAAAAATGGGTAAAGATCTGCACAGACACTTGGAAAACAGAAAATTCAAACAGGCTATAAACACATGTGAAAGTGCACAACATTATTAGTAATTAGGGATATGAAATGAAGATCACAATTTTGATACCATTACACATCCGCCAGATTGACAAAAATTAAGAAATCTAGCAATATTATGTTTTAGCAAGGATGTGAAGCAACTAGAACAACCATACATCTCCGGTGAGAGTATAAATTTTATAATCACTTTGGAAAACAATTTGGCATTATCTAAGGCCAAAGTTAAATATAAGCCTACCCTATAGCCCAATACTTCCACTCCAAGGTATATACCCTAAAGAAAAGTTTGCACTTGCACACCAGGACATATATACAAGAATGTTATTAGCAGTATTGTTTGTAATAGCCCCAACTATGACTACATGCAACAAAAATGGATGACCTCACAGACATAACCAAGTGAAAGAAGAGGCCAGAAACATACACAAAAAATTCATGCTGTATTATCCCATTTATGAAAAGTTCAAAACGAAGCAAAACTAAACTCTGGTGTTTAGGGATGCAAAACAAGCTGATAAAACAAAGATATATAAGGAAGTAATTACCGTTAAGTCAGGATAGCTGTTGCTTTGGGAGGAGAGAAGGGCTTCTGAGAGGGATTCGGGGGGTAGGTTCTGGGGTGATATCAATGACCTGGGTGGTGATTACACAGCTTTGGTTTATGATGATTTGTTAGGCTGTACATGTGTGTTGTCTTCAATTTTCTGTGTGTAATTGTTCATAACTAAGTAACACATCTCTTCATATTTCACCATTTTGCCTTTGAGAAGAAATGAGATGAGGGAGGAATGTAGGTGTGAGGTTTGACTGTGTGAGAAAAGGCAGCACAGGAGAATCTGAGGTCAAAATTTAAAACCTGTGAAGAGAGAGAGGAAAAAAAGTGGAGTGTTGAGCAATCTAAACCTGCTGGACTGATAAGGTGGGTAGCCTGCCTTTGGATGGTTGGGTTTTTTTTTAAATAGTGCTTTAGGAATAATAAAGGTTGCTCCAAGTGCTAAATTTCTTACTCCTCTACTTTACAAGTTGGACCTGGGCGGAAGGACCAAGGTTTTTTTATTTTTATTTTTCCAATCTATGTATTATTCACCATTGACTAGAATCCTCCAGACTATCCAGGGTATGAAAACATATTTGATGTGGGGGAGCACACGCCCTCCTTGAGCATTAAGCTGGGTGACCCCGTCCCTCCCTCCTCCCCCGTCTTCGGTGCAACCAAGACTGAAGAGCAAGGTCAGGAGCAAGATGAACAGACCAGAACAGGTAAAAGTTCCATACTGAGATGCTTTGGAAGCGCCAAAAAGTGACAGTTTCCTTTCATCTCATTCGTCGTGTTCTCCGGGCAGACTGATGTCAGAACTTATTGTTCCGGGCACAGCACATAAGCAACTCAGAGTTTTAAAACATTAAAAGAGGATGATGTTAGACAAGAGATCAAGAGCCCCGTTAACGTTTTCTCCTCGTGTTGGGGGATGGGAGGGGATCTTGCTTCTCCTTTCCTGCCTTTTCCTGCCAGATCTCGCCGTCGCAACTCCAATTACACACTGACTGCCCCGCCGCGAGGATGGGGTACCCCGTCAACAACGGGGACATCGGGTGTCAGTGGACTTCCAGGGATCAGAACGCGCCAGAGACAGGAAAACAGATGAGCCTTTCAGGCGGCTCTCGAAGCAAAGTCCAGTGGACCGAGACACACCCTAGTCCTTAAGACTCGTTCTCTCCGGATTTTCCTCGCTGGACCCGCTCTGTAGGACGCAAAGTCGCCTGAACGAGGCATTCCTAGGGCGCCCGACTCCCGAGTTTACATTTCTTAGGCAAAAAGGCAGTGGAGCTAAAGGCAGGCTCCTTGGAAGGCACCAGGCTGCTCTGTTTCACCCCTTCCCTTCGCCCTCCTGCAAGCAGCCTCTCCTGTGGGGGATTCTCCCAGGACTGGGGCCAGCGCCAATCAGGTCGCTCGGTACCTGCCCCCAGCCCCGGCCACCTGGAGGGGCGATGAGGTTCTCGGCTCCGTGCAGGGCCAGTCCTCGGAGCGCCGGGGCGGGCAGAGGAGCCTCACGTGGGCCTCCCCAGCCCCGGGCACCCGGAAGGACGCGCGCAGACCCCGTGGGATCCGAACGCGGGATCGTCGCTGGAGCGGAGCTGCTCACCGCGGTAACGGGTCAGGGCGCTCCCCCGCGCCAAGGTTCCCTTGAAAGAAGAAATCGAAGGAAGGGGGCGGGGCGCGGGGGGGCCGAGGACCCCGCGGGTCGCCGGGCTCCGCGCGTGGATGTGCCTGGCCAGCGCGTACTTTCGAGGGCGCCTCTGGACCCTGGTAAGCGCGCCCCGGGGCGCCTCCCACTGCCCCCTCTAGCTTGACCGTAGCGGGGCCGGGCTGGGGCTGGAGGGTGGGCGTCTCTGCCCTCGTGGCCAGGCCGCTGGTCGCGCTGTCCCCGCCTCGGGGCCGGCCTCACCGGGTCCCTGACCCCTTTCGCTCGCCTCAGCCCGGCCTAGCCGACCTGCTCCGCGGCGCCTCCCGCCCGGCCAGACCCCACACGGACGCGGCTGCTGCGCCTCGGCGCCCGCGACCACCCCGGGACCGTGCGGCTGCCGGGGCCGGCGACGCTGCACGCTCCGCGGGCTCGCCAGGGGCGCGTGAGTGCGCGGGGCGCGGGGGACCAGGGTGGCGGGTGCGGAGGCAGGCAGGCGGGCCCGGGCCGCTGCACCGGCGTCTGTCTGGGAGTCCAGGTTCGGCCGAGCGCGCGCTCTGGACAGCCTTGCCACCTGGGCTCGGTTTGCTGGTGATTTTCCTGAAGTTTTACAAAATCGGGAGCGCGGAGCTGCGTTCGCGGCCGGAGTCGGTATCTCCACCAGCGTGTGCGGGTCCAGGACAGCCGGGGGCCGACCGCCTGCCTAAGAGACGGAGAAACTGGACTGTCGGCCGGGCGCTGGGCGCTTCCTCCTGAAGCCCCAGGGCCGGGGTCCCGCACCCCCATCCCGCAGGGCCATGCGCGGCTGGGCGGCGGGCGGGCTTGGCTCGAGGCGCCGGCCGCATCGAAGCCTCCCTTCAGCGGCCCGGGGGAGGGTTTGGCCCAAGTAGGGAGACTGGGGGGTGAGCGGACAAGCCCCGCTGTCTGCCACTCGCATCCCCTTCACCCCGAGTCTGGCTGGGGTGGGGCGGGTAGAGTGCCCGGCGCGGCGCTCCTCCTGCGAGGGTGGCTTCCTCGGTTCTCTACGCCTCCGAAGGCAGCGACGGAGGGCAGGGCTGGAGATCTGGCTTCTCTGTCAGTGCCCTTGGGCTACATCCACCACCCGTGTCTTTCTGTCACACTTGGGCATTCCTTTTCTCTAGGCGGAACTGTGGGGCCCTGGAAGTTTGCTCTTCCTAGCAAGTTTGACGTGGCGGGAAGGGGGTTGAGGGGCAGGTATGCAACCCGCAGCCGGGGTCCCGCAGTCAGCTGAGGCGCTTTCTCCCGTCCTTTCAGTCTGCTCAGCCGCGGACTCACTCCCAGCCCGGACCACACTCGTGGCCTGGCTGGAGGACCCGGGTCGGGAGGAAGAGGGGTTCTCACCGGCAGGGCTAGGGGTCCGATTCGGAGGAGACAGTGGTGTAACCGGCAGGGGGTAACCTCTCCGCAGTCGGGTCTCTGCGCCCTGCCCGGCCCTCCAGTGTCTGAGCCAGACCCACGCTTTATAACGTGTGAGAGAGAAACAATGATGGGGGACTGCAGGGCCCACACGTTCACTTCGCCTGAGATTCGCTGGGATTTGGAATCTTCTGGAGGAAAAGGCAGCTTCCTTTCTGTACCAGTGATGTACTTGGAAGTACATTCAGATCCTGCCCCTTTCCTTCAAACTGACAGAGGTGGACCAAGGGGAAGAAAGAGCGAAGGTATATTCTGTGAAAGCAGTTGTCATTTCTCAGGCCTCTCTCCGGAGCTTCCAGCTCCCAGGCATGAGAGGATCTAAACCCGCAGATAGAGATGCGGGGTCATATTGGCACCCGGGGAAGAATTAAAATGTGGCTCCCCAAGGTTCAGCCTGGCAGACCCCTCCTCATAGTTCCCCACTCACATAAGAAGCATGGCTATAATTTCTACCATCCTGGGGGATGAAATGAGACAGGACCATGTGTGAATGGGAAAACTTCTGAATTCTTTTGGAGTAGGGGTGGGGGGTCACATTCGTAGATAGAAACCCCAGACATGGGCATCACTGGCATCCTGCCAGAACTAGAAATCTGCATTCAGTGATCTCATCAAAAATAGTGCTTGGGAAAGGCAAGATGGGCTCTGGTGCTGATGAGAGTAAGTCCCTCATGTTTTTCCAAGGATCTCTGTTTTGTCTCTAGCTTGCCCATCTATAATTGGAAATGAGCTCTGCTTAGTCCAGAGAGCGCCTCAGTCTGAGTACAAATATCATCGGCAACAGGGGAGCCTGGCACAGGAACAACCCACCCCTCACCCAGAAACCCAGGGTGGGATTTCAGTGATATCTCCTGCTAACTTTGGAAGGAGGCTGGGATGGGTCAGAGGAGGAGTTGGGAATCCTCTGGGTGGCCACTTGACAAAAGAGCCATTTGGCCCTGCCTGGGCCATTCCAGGTCTTGTTGATTGTGAAAAGTACCCTGAGGTTTAGAATCTGGCCTGAGACTGTTAACACTAATGAAAGCTGCTACCATTTATTAAGTACCTTCTATGTGCCAGAGACAGGCTTTGCAAAATCAGTATTATTATCCCCATATTTCATGTGAGAAGATCTTTTGCTAAGATCATAAAGCTAGTCAGTGGCAGAGCTGTGCTTAGAACCAAGGTCTCTCTGTTACAAAGTCGCTGCTCTTTCCACAGGGCTACTCTCCTCCCGTTAAGAACAGACACACATATGGTAGCTGAAAATCCATTGTGAATAAAGACTGTTATTTGTTGGTCCAAGAGATGTTTGTGACCCGGTTAGGTTTCAGGGAATGTGCTGGCCTGGTTAAACTGGAGGCTCTTCATTCCTTTAGGACTCAGGGGTTTAATTCATACCCCTGAGTAAAAGGATTAATTAGTTAATATGTAAACTGCAAACTACAATGCCATACTTATTTACCTTTCAATTAACAAACATCAAAGAGATTGATAAACTGCTGATGAGGTTCTGGAAAAACAGGCACTTCATACATTGCTGGTCAGAGAGTAAACTGGTACAAGTTCTTTGGAGGGCATTTTAGAAACATCTATCAAAATTAGAATTGCCCATTCCATCTGACCCTGTGATTCCATTTTTAGGAGTTTGGCTGTTATACTTGCCTATGGGCACACAGACATATATACATCATAGCATTGTTTGAGCTATGAAAGAACAACCTACATACTCATCAAAGGGTGACTTGTTAAATATCTGTGGTACTTCCAGGTAATTGAATACTGTCCTAGTCGTCCATTAAAAAAGAATTAGGAAGCTTACTCTATAACTGATATGGGACGATTTCCAAGATATATGGCTAAGTGGAAAACAGGCACAGTGTTTATAATATGCTACTGTTGGTGTTATAAAAGAGGAGGAAGAAGGAGAGGTCCAAGATATTTGCTTGTAATTTCTCTTTGCTAATAATATCTCTTGCCTCCAGGGAGAGTGGACCTTTTTGTAGACCAGAGAGGGTAAACCCTTTTGTACCTTTTCAGTTTTGAACCATGTGAATGTATTAACTATTTAAAAAGTCCTCTCCTTGCCCTGTGCCTGACACGTTCCCTCAAAGCTGTTCTCCAGCTGAATAGTGTGGGCGACACCCCCACCCTCAGCTGGCTCAAGGTTCCCTTTGGAATAAAAGCCGAAGGGCTGTGAGACCACACAGGGCCCCAGAATCTGGGCCATCCAGAATTCCTCTAAATATGCAGGTTGTGCTTGGGAAGCTGGAGGGGGAGGTGTTTTTAGACACTTCTCTGAGCTGGGTAGGCAAGATATGATCCTCCAGCTTTGAAAACAAAATGGAGAAATAGGAACTACCCCTCTTTTTATTGCCTTAATGTTCCCCTACACAGGCTAGAGCGTCAGCACCTGGGTAGCATCAGGTGAGGGAGCAGGAGGACCACTGTGGTTGGACATCAGGAGAGCAGAAGATATGTAGGTCTGTTTCTAGTGTTGCATTTGGACCTCAGAAGGGAGAGGAGGAGAGATACTCTTGAAAGAAAAAGTTTGAAAATTATTCTGGAGTCTAGGGCTGTATTGCCTCAGAGGGGGCTGGAGGGTTATTGATGCAGTTGTCACGACATCAATCGGTGTGGCCCTGAATGCCCCCATTGGGCGCTTCCCATCAGCACAGACGCCCAGCTCAGTCGTCATCCCCACCCCACCCCCAGAATTCCCTTCTGCTGATCACCCAGCCTTGAAGCCACCGGTGCCTGAGGGGAATGGGGGCAAGTATTAGGTACTGCCTTCCCTCCTTCAGGTAGGACAGGCTGTTGACTAGCAGAAGTAGTGGAAGGAAGACTTGCTTCCACCACACAAGGTGGGGCGCTTGAGCACTGTTAGGTGGGTAGCCTTCATTGGGAGCTTTCTATGTTCCAATTACTCTGCTAAGCACTTTGCCTCGATTACCTCATTTAATCTCTTGATCGGGTATGTGTGAGAGCCCAGGCTCTTCGCCATCAAGCAACAACACCTTTCTGCTCTCCCTTCAGTGGCTTTGCTGCTCTCTGCACAGTAAGCTGCAGCACAGGCACACAGCACCGTGTAGGTGCTCGCAGGTACGGTCTGGGTTATAACAGCATGTGGCTGAGCATTACATGCTTTGATGGGTGAGCTGGGATCTCTGCAGTCTGGATAAATTTGTACAAGACACAGTTCAGGGACAGAGCAGTCAGCGTTCTTGGTTTGGATTTCCATCTCTCTTGCTTCTGTGTCTGTGTGTGCGTTAGGTCTGGGGCTGAGTGGACTGGAGTGGGATGTTCCCAGGGATGGAGGGAGGAGAAGGAGGATTGTCTCTGCTTTGCTCCAGATTCTCGTGGAGTGGAGGGCTGTGAGGATGTGCTTGTGAGGCCCTGTGTCTGTACCTAAGGAGGGAGGTGAGCAGGGTGGCCCCCCTGAGCCCCAAGTCTGTGCTGGGAGTCTGTCTGCTGTTTGGAAAAAACAGCCTGAGAGCTGAGAATCTCGCTCATTGCAAACCTGTCTCCTCCTACGCAGTTACAGGCTAGTGCTCACCTCTGACTCCCATTCCACTTCAAAAAGAAACGGCTTGAATTTTTCCCCAAATAAATTCTGGAGCACACAAGGCAGCTGCTTCTTCTCTGTGCTGCTGTTGCCCACAGGGGTGAGAGCACGAAGCTGGACTGGGTCTCAGCTAAGGCTGCCAGA